TAAACGCCGTGACTGTTTCTGGATGGTAAAATTGTGCGTGACAGACAAGAATATGACGAGGGGCAGCTGATCCTGGGGGTTAGCTGGCCAACCTTCCTCGACAAAGGGGCAGACCCAAACTTGCAGGGCTAAGGCTATTGGACCGTTCTTGGTGCAGAAGTGGATTGAGACATGCCTAGCCATTGGGCCAGTTCGAAACACAAACCTAATCAACTATAACCTATTTCGTCATTGTTGTTACAACAAATGCAATAAACACTACAAATAAAAAAATCCAGATAATCTTCAACTGTTTCTTCAGGATCTTCACCTTCAACTTCAATTCGTCCTCCTTTGCTTTATAGGTGTTAACCATCTCCTTCTTCTCATTCAAGTTCTTTACTAGTAAGGAAATCATTTGTTTTTCCCTAGGATCGATCTCCTCATCCAACCAAGCAAAGTGAGAGCATTTTTTATATCTTTAAATCTTATACATCCCACAACCATAGAAACGGCTTCCCGGGTTTGAATCGGTCCATGCCGTCATCAGCGGAGCATCGAGATCACACTTCTATACATACCTTGAATGACTTGAGGACCTGCTTCTATGGCTACAATAGAACTGCTGAGATATTTTAATGGAAGGATTTGATGGAAACTTGAAGAAACTGGGGAAAAGAAGACGAAAAACAATTCAAAAGGATCAAGAACACAAGATATAATAAACAAAAACAACAACATTAATGTTTCATACACCTTTTTTTAAATTAATCGTGGATGTCGAACAAATTATGAAGTTCATCTAGTTTATGAAGCTATGAAGAAAAAGTACAAGGTGTATGAAGTTAACACAATAACTTCATACTTCTTGTATTTCTCTTCATAGCACACAAACCATATGTATCAACAACAACCACATTAATCAACAGCATAAAATTACACCAGATATTGTGTAATGTTTCAAGATGCACATTTTTTAAAATTAATCGTGGATGTCGAATAAATTATGAAGTTCATCTAGTTTATGAAGCTATGAAGAAGAAACATGAGGTGAATAAAGTTAACACAATAGCATCACACTTCTTCTATTTCTCTTCATAGCTACACAAACCATATGTATTTCTCTTGTTAAGGTGGTGAAGACGAATTTGGAAAAATGAGAACATTAACCAAATGAAAAAATGATAACCCATTTTTAACAAGAAACATAAACGAAATCGAAGCATAAATTTAATGAACGAACCTCAAGTTAGAGATTGATGAAGAAGAATCTGAAGACGTATCTGAAGGTTGAAATATGTTTAAAAAGTGACATAGATGTTAGGGTTATGTTATGAGAGAGAAGAGTGAAGCTATGTTAGGGTTTTCTTTTTTGAGAGAAACATATGTTATGTACTGAACTATAGATACTTTCGCTTATATACTAAAAACTATCACTTTTCATCATGGTTAAAAAGAAAAACCGTGATGCAATTTTCAAAATTTACAACAGTTATATTGTAAAACCGTGGTTAAATAACTTGGTTACATAAATTTCAAATTTTACAACGGTTGGTTTACTTAACCGTTGTAAAATCATTTACAATTTATTTTTCAAATAATGTACTTAAGTGACACACACTTAATGTACTATAAAAAATGGAAAAAATGTAGTTGCTGCGAAAATTTTAACCTATTACAACAGTGTATATGAATTCGTTGTAAACTTGGCATTGTTGTTTGCGTATTTTGTAGTAGTGTCATTCTTTTTTCGATACTCTTTCCTATATAATATGCAATTATTATAACATGCATGTGTTTTGACATAGTCCAAGCCTATTGGACACAATATCTTATTGGCATTATAATTATAAGACAACATGTTACCTTCTAGAAGCATGTAATTCAACGATTCAAGCCATTTAGTGAAACTTTTATCCTTCCACCTTTTTTTCCTTTAGATTAATAGTCTTAATACAATTAATAATTGTAAAAAAAATTGCACGCCATAAATAACGACTCTTCCTTGTCGCTACGTAAAGTATCATACACATGGACTTTCCTAAGATAATCTTTTTCAATATCACAAATTATATCTTCTAGCTGATCATCCATATCTTCACCAACTTCATCTTATGTGACTCAATTTGTTTTTTTTTCCACTTCACCGTGCCGCTATGATCGATTGTCTTTCATCCAACTATGATCAATAACTACGTAATTTTTAAAAATAAAATTAAAATCCTACACAAATTAATCATGCATTTTGAATGATAACTTTACTAAGTCAAATTGTAGTAATTTTGCACCTATATAAACTACATATTTTAACAACCTTTAAGAGAGATGTCAAGATTTTGGTAAGTTAATGCACCCACAACATTGAACATTTGATCTCAATAAAAACAACAACGTTAAATATTCATTCTTAACAACAACAATAATAACATTAAACCTTAAATATTTTAGCAACAATAACATTAATAAACCTTAAATATTTCAATAGCAACAACATTACTTGTACAAGCATGGACAAAGTATTTACGTACTGGAAATGTGAAGAGAGAGAGTCAAAGAAATGAGTTTGTTTGAGTTTGAAATTTCCTTATTTGGGTTTTGTTCGAGTTTCCTTCTTCTTTTCCTTATTCTGTTTGACTTAGAAAACTGAGTTTTGTTTGCTTTAGTGCAAAAGATGAAGAATGGTGTTTCGTTCCTTATATGGAGAAGATAAAGAAGATGTTTTATTTTCTAGGGATCAAAAAATTTACAAGAAATAAAAAAGTGAATGAGAGATAACATTGTGTTTTGGAAAACAATGTTGTTGAAAGTTTTTCCCTCGAATATGAAGTATAACCGAGGGAATATGTGAGAGTTTTTCTCTCGAAATTTGTTAGTATGATCGAGGAAATAAATAATATTTTTTTAATTAAAAAATTGAATAAAATAAAGATGTCATTTTAAAATAAATAAAATCATAAAAATAAGTTGATGAGAATTAAAGCATGTTCATGAGAAATTTTTCACCATGGTTCAGTCCAACCCACATATTAGATGACTTTTATTGGAGACCAATAAAAATGATGAACAATAAGAAATATCATTTATAACTTGTTATCATTCACCATTTTTTTTGGTTGCAATATCTTTTGAATATTATTAGTAATAGTTTCTCAAATTTTTCAGTCAAAGAAAGTAATAAATCATTGAATTTTTTGTTTTTGGATAACTACATAGAAAAACTATTCCTAAAAATAACAACTATAACGGCATAAAACAACAAAAACAAAAACAACAAGAAGAACAACACTATGTAGAGTTTGTTTTAGGAGAAAAATATGAATTCGTAAATGAACTATGAGTTAGGTTTAAGACAAAAATGAAAGAATGTGGTGCTTTATATATATAACTGGAGTGACATTTTTCTCCAGTTTTATCAAGTAAATGAGGAAAAAAATTATTTATTTTAATTTTAAAATAATAAAAAAAATGGGAGAGTTTAATTATAAATAAAGCACTAAATTGCTAGTGTTGCGATTCGAAATTTGTCCCCAAGATTTTTATAAAAAAACACTTTATGAAATAAATTTTACTAGTTAATCGAGGAAAACTTTTGTTAAAAAATATACCATTTATTGTAGTGTATATTTATATTTCTGATTTTATTTATAAAAAACTAATTAAATAATTTTGTTTTACAATTTATTAAGAAAATTAAATTTTATCATTTTTCTAATAAATATTCACAAAAATTGAGGTGAGAAGATCTTGAAGCTCATATTTATTAAAGATTTAAATTTTAAATTCGTAATTTTATTATAATATTATATTTTTTTGGGCTTGTTTGGCAGGCGAAAATAAAAAAGATAATTATTTCAATTCAATATATATCACATCAAGATATAATAAATTTACTCTAAAACTGATCCAACCTTGTTTTAAAGTAGAAAATTATATTTTAAATTTGAATTAGATTAGAAATGAATAAGATATCATTAAAAATAAATTATTGATTATTTTTATAAAACATAATTTGAATATAAAAAATAAAATAAAAAGTAATTTAAATAAAAATAAGTTTGACATTAAATTAAAAATTAAAAATAAATTATTGATTATTTTTATAAAACATAATTTGAATATAAAAAATAAAATAAAAATTAATTTAAATAAAAATAAGTTTGACATTAAATTAAAAATTAAAAATAAAACTGTTATTAAAAGTTTCAAAATATTAGTGATATTAATTGTTATGAATTGTCAGTATAAAAAATTTTACACTATCAATATCAATGCATCACAACCATCCATTTGTATTACTTATCAAGTGGTTAAATTAAAAGATAAATCTTTCAAATAAAATCAGTGATTATCAATTAAATTTAATATTAATATTAATTACTTTTTAATTAAGTATACTTTTCACAATGATATTTTATTATTTAGATTATAATAATATTATATTTGTATAAGAAACATTTAATATAAATTATTTCGGTTAACATAATTATTTTAAAATAATTAAATTTAATTGTTTAATAATGTCCGTGAATTTTTATGAAAGTTATAAAAAACAATTTGTTTTATTAGTTTTAGAATTTTTTTTTTGTTAACTATGTAATTGAAAAACCAAATATCTACGGGATAGCCATTCTTGTAAATATTTTGAAAGAAAAAAACAAACTTTTTTATTCAATGTTTGAGTACAAAGGGAACTCTTCCATCTTCCCTACACCAATCTACTTTAATTGATCAATACGATCTTTACGCCACTCATAAAAGCTACACAACCTACCCTCTTAACATCAATGATCAACCACAACCATAAGATTAATTGGACATTTCTCAGCATGAATGATCAACCACAACCATAAGATTAATTGGACATTTGTTGGGTAGGTGTGATTGAACCCTCTATTTTCCCTATAACTACTATTTAGCCTTTTGATTTTATTCACTCCTCATCTCACTCAGTTTTGAAAACGTTAAGATTTTAGGGTTAGGGTTTTGTCTTCTCCAAAAAAAGTTAACATCAAAATTCAATCATGGCATCAACGAGCATGGCATCAACATCAACAAAGAACATCAATCTCAAGAGTTCTGATGGTGAGATTTTTGAAATCGAAAAGGGCGTGGCGTTGGAATCACAAACCATCAAGTATATGATTGAGGATGATTGCGCTGATGAAACTGGAATCCCTCTTCCAAATGTAACCAGCAAGATTTTGGCAAAAGTGATTGACTACTGCAAGAAGCATGTAGAGGCTGCAAATCGGGATGAAAGGTCCGTAGATGAGGATGATCTCAGGACTTGGGATGCTGAATTTGTCAAGGTTGATCAAAATACACTCTTTGATCTCATTTTGGCTGCAAACTACTTGGACATCAAGAGTCTCTTAGATCTTACATGTAAGACTGTGGCGAACATGATGAAGGGTAAGAAACCGGAGGAGATTCGCAAGACTTTTAACATTAAGAATGACTACACTAAGGAGGAGGAGGATGAAGTTCGTTGCGAAAATCAATGGGCTTTTGAATGATTACATATTGACAAAGTGATAAGTTTAGAGACCACGTTAATGTTTCTCTGATATTTATATTAGATGTTGTGTTGATTGTTTTGTGCATTGGAATTAATATTGAAACAGTTTGTGTATCTTTTCCTATGGTTGTATCATGCTGATCTCTTTCACATATTGTGTAGAATCAATGTCAAACAGTTTATAGGAAAAAATTTGTTGTTTTCCAAAATGTATTATAGATATACTAGCATCCAGACAAGCATTCTGTCCGCTTTTTTAATATTCAGACGTTTAAAAATATAAACGTATTTTTTGTGTATTTATTTTTTTTAATTTAAATTTTATATAAATTTTTTGAATGGAATAGTTGTTCAAACTACCATATAGAAATTAACAAAATAAAAATTAGTAAAAAAAAAAGTTGAATTTTAAAATAAAAAACAAAAGGGTATAATTGAAATAAAAATATATTACACCAAATTTAAAATTTTCCTTTATATATACTAGCGTCCAGACGGGTACGCGTCTGTCTGCTTTTTTAATGCACACACGTAAAAATTTAAATGATATTTTTTATTTTATATTAATTTTAAATAGAAGTTAAGTAGAAGTTAGATATGGAGTTATGTAAAAAGTTAATAGAAGTTATTGAGTAAATTATACATTAAATAATGGTAAAATTAGTAGAAAAAGAGGCTACACCAAAACACAATGTTTTCCCTTTATATATACTAGCGTCCAAACGGGCACTCCGTGCCCGTTTGTCCGCTTTTTTTACCGCGCTAACGCGTGAAAATATTGACAACGTCTTTTTTATAAGTTTTATTTTAATATAAAATATTTATATGACGAAATATATTGTATTTATTCAGATACATATCAAGTTTTATTTGCAATATATAATATTCGTGTATTAAATTTTGTTTGAATTGAGAAAACGACATAGTGACGTGACTATATTTAACCAATTTTTTTCAAGCAAATCAATAATGTGAGAGGAATAATTTGATGGTTACGAATACCGTATTAAGGAAAAAGAAAATAGATTACACCAAAATTAAATTTTGTATTTATGTATTGTTATAGATTGTACAAAATCATTGTACAAAATCATACGAAGATTTAAATAAAATAAGGAAAAAAAATAGGAAGGTCAACCATAAAATCGAAATAAAAAATATCACTTATTTTACTGCAAAACAAATGAAGTGAATTTTAATAGTCAACAATATAGTATAATCTAGTGAGTGCACGCCAAGTGTGACCTTGCAAAACTATGTTTTCTCTTGTAATTAAAACCTTGTGGATAATACACCAAAATAATTATAAATATAACTTAACAAAACCGGTCACCAATTAAAATACATACATACGTATAAATTCAGTTTTAACAAACTATAATGAAAAAAATTAATTAATTTGTTTTCTATGTATGATCACCAGCAAACACTCTTCAAAAATCGCCATGCAAAGAAGATTTATATGTGTTAAAGTTTTCATAAGTTTTTCTTAATGGAAGTTAATGATGGTTAAAGAATAAAAATAACCAACGACTCATATTCAATTTATCTATAATTATAAAAGTTAGATTTAACTTAACTAAAATTATCATAAATTCAGTATAATACATATATAGTGTAATTTTGTCCATAAACCATACAATAGAAAAAATATATTGTAGTATTTAGTCATTGTCATTGCATAATCACCAATTAGTACTTGAAAATAAACATTTTTAAAAATACCGGTACAAATTACATAACTTAGACGGTGATCATTGTATAATCACTGACTATTACTTCGATATAAATTTTTTTAAAAATGCAGAAACAGAAATACAAAATTACACAACTTAGACGATAAAAAGATAACATAATAATAAATAAAAGAGAGTATCTTCTTCAACCTCCGAAACCATATAAAGTTCTTCTTTATCTCTTAAGAGTATACACAACATTCATGGTAGTCACAACCTTCCTTCTTGCATGATTAGTATATGAAGCAACATCATGAATGATTTTTGTCAGGAAAACCTTGAGAAATAACCTAATTTCTTCATAGATCAAATCACTTATCCTCTTCACACCTCCTCTCCTCGCCAATCTACGAATCGATGACTTTGTAATTCCCCAAATGTTGTCGCGCATAATCATCTTGTGCCTCTTTGCTCCTCCCTTTTCGAGCCCCAATACCCTTTCTACGACCTGCCATTTTTGTAAGAAATTTTGAGAAACTGCTTATTCTTTTGAATTTTGAATGTGAAAAAATAGAAGATGAAAGGGGTATTTATATATCATTCTGAGCGGGAAATGAAAAAAACTGCTTATCCTCTATCGTTGGATTTAAAGTAATAGATGGTTTAGATTTGACTGAGATTTTTCAAAATTTTAAAATTATTTTATAATTTATTTTAAAAAATTGTTTTTAAAACAAAATAAAATATTGGTTAATCATATTTTCAAAAACTGTATTTTAAGAACTCCAATGAATTTTTTTAGGCAATTATAATTCACTTATCCGTACAATCCATTAAATTGTATGAGAAAAATTGTTGATGATAATGATCAGTAATTATTTAAATATTTAAAAGATAATATATAATTGTGATTATTTTAAGTATGTAATTTATCAAAATTTAAAATATACAGACTTTATAATCATTATCATTCAGTTTTATTAAGAAAAAGCTTTGGATAAATTTAGTCATAAATAAAGTACATTATAAATCTTCAAAATTAAAAGAATTAAATATATAATTAAATATAGTAATATTACTTGAGTACGAAAGTTGTTATATGCTTCTATTTCATTCAGTAATGGAATTAGTGGGTAATAAAGCAGTTAATCATTTTTAGAAGTTAATACTACTTTTCTATTATCATTTTTTATTTAATTAATTTAATTAAGTATGGAAGTTGTTATATGCTTCTATTTTATTCAGTAATGGAATTAGTGGGTTATAAAGCAGTTAATTATTTTTAGAATTACTACTATTTTTTTATTGTGTAAGTTATATATTTTAAAATAAGGGTAAATTTGGTATAAAAAAAAAGCTACACCAAAAATTAAGTATTTTCTTTATATATGTTTTATATATATATATATATATATATATATATATATATATATATATATATATATATATATATATATATATATATATATATATATATATATATATATATATATATATATATATATATATATATATATATATATATATATATATATATATCCCATTTTTTTGTGTATAAAACAAATCAATTACTAAACTTAAAAAAATAAGATAGGCACTTTGTCTATTTTGGTTTAAAGATAATAACTCATTTTCATTAGTATTACCAATTGAAAACTACACTTTTGTTTACTCAACACCATTTTTTTCATTAACATACAATTATAATAATTGATGCACACGAAAGAATAAAAGTGAAAGGATGAAAAGATAGTCAAATTTAAAGTCATGCACCCTCTTAATTTTTTTTCCATTTTCTTTCTATTACACTCATAACTTCTCTCATACATCACACATATCTTTTTTTTTCTGTTTTGTATTATTTTTCAAAAATATGATCTTCTACGTTCATAGAGATTTACTCCACTTAAAAAAAAATCTTCTTATATAACCACTAATCAATTTACTATGCTACACTTTCTTCACCTATTAAAAATTAATGAAAAGCAAGAGAACCATCCATTTCAGTTTGGGTTGAGATTGTAAATTGGAATAGCAACTGTAAAAAATTAATGATATTTAGAAAAATTAATGATATCTAAAAAAATTAATGATGATTAATAAATTAAACATCCTACATAGATGATCCAATGACGTTAATATTCCATTCATTTAAATTAATAGGCAAATTTAAATTTAGATTTCTTTAAATTTTAATGAAAACCTCTCCCAATAAATATTTAATAGGAAAATTTGTTTCTTTATCTTTATTGTTCTTAAAACATATAATAGGCAAAAAAAATCTATGATATTTGAAATAGTTATCTTTAAAATTCAAAATTACCTCTTTTGATGATGAAATGCTAGTGTAATAATACCAGACAATATAAGTATTAATTAACTTCAATCTTGATGTTGCTCTCTAATACAAAAACAACACAGAAGCAAACATTGGAACTTCCATAGAACTTCCAATACAAACAATGACAAAGAAGCAAATCATTAACCACCCACAAACCATAAATTATGAAGAATCGATGGATGAAACATTAAATGAACATGTTTTTTTACTCTTTGTATATTTGTATTTATGTTATGCATAACACTAACTATTAACTATTAACTATTCATAATAAAAAAATGTCTAGTCTAGTATAGTATTTATATGATTATAATTTTATTTACTAATTTAATTTCTTCATACTATTATATAATAAAATATTTATTGATAAAAAATTTCCATACTTTTTAAATAGAAATATTTATATATATATATATATATATATATATATATATATATATATATATATATATATATATATATATATATATATATATATATATATATATATATATATATATGTTATTTTATTTTTTTGAGGGACCAATTATAAAAATTAAAACAAACCTCTAAATATTTTATTGACATATCCTACGTAAATGTTATTTTTATGTGAGAACATGAGAATAAATCTGAACTACTAGATTTAAATAATTTGGTGAGAGGAGAGAGAACTTTAACTATCCAAAATATAATATTTTATTTTAATTCATTTATTTTAATAATGGAGGAGAGAGAAAATTGATTGAAAATAAAAATAACACATAATTTTATCTATTTATTTTAAATTTTATGTTTCAGATTCATTTTCACGTTCTTACCTAAAAACAATATTCTTGTAGTATACGTTACACACACACACATATATATATATATATATATATATATATATATATATATATATATATATATATATATATATATATATATATATATATATATATATATATATATATATATATATATATATATATATATATATATATATATATATATATATAT